TTATGTGAGAAAATAGAACGGCGCTCGGTGTATGGGATTCTCAAGCAAGTACAATGTGCTTACCCCCCTTGGTTTTGAGATTCTTGCGGTGAAAGAGGGGCTTACCATTGCCAAGGCTTATGAATTTTAGAAAGTTGTGGTTGAAACGGATGCTCTATCTCTCAAAGTCATGTTTGACACTATTGACTACCATGTACATCACGAGCTTTCTGCGCTTATCAATGAAGTGGCTGAGCTTACTACTGAATTTGAGGTCGTGGAAATTGATTACATTAAAAGAATGGATAATGTGATGGCTCATCGCCTTGCAGCATTGGGAATCAAGATGGCAGTAGGCTATATGGATCATACCTTTGTTCCTCTGTGCATCAAGGACCCATTTGATGCCCAAATGCAAGCCCTCGATGCTATCTAAGCTTCTACTGTTATGTCTGCTTTTATTTTTTCTATTATTTTTTGTTCAGCCCTGCTTTTGCTTATCACTTTAACTGGACTTGTTGAAGATTTTCTAGTGAACAAGGGTCACAAAGAAAAATGGAAATGAAATTAACGAAATACTTCGAGGCGTGAACGAGATCACTTTCCCAAAAGTATAATTCCGACCCTATACTACAACCGGGCATCACGGAAATTACTCAAGAGATACAACGAAGAACAATTGTAATAACTTGTAGGATTATTGCGATTCAATGTATAAAAGTGTTGTGATTTTGTGAAAATGAACAGCTGATAATAACTCCCTATGCCAAAGTGATAAGATAGAAATTATATTTCATCTCTCAACCTTCATTCATCATATGAGGAGTTTCTCATATATATTAGATAGTAGTATGTCACTGCATTTTTCAAACGTAACAATGCATTAAGTCATGCATTAAACAATGCTTTAAGTCATGCATTGAACAATGTATTAAGACATACATTAAACAATGCATTAAGACATGCATTAAACAATGCTTTTAGTCGTCAATTAATACATTAAGTTATAATGCATTAAGTAACTGTCATACTAATGCAAGAGATATCGAAATTGAAATCTTATGAAGCGGTACGGTTAAACATAATTAGTGACGAATCAACCACTTTCTTTCTTTCTCTTGATTAGTTGTATACTACTACCTTTTTAATCATATGTTGTCTAAGTCATAATACCTTAACCAAATGACTTAAACTTAACATAAAATGAATAATAATCTACTAAATTCTCCAAAAATCCTCCCCCATTTAGAGTATTTAAAATGATTTATTGCATAAAAACATCATCATCACAAAAACAACATGATGCATACTTGAAAGTGTACAAAGACTTGAACTCCCACTTAGTGCATCATACAATCCAAGAATTCGTATCCATTTGGTATAGTAAAACGTTTGAACCAAAAGCAATACATATTGGATACTTGAAGATATTACACACACAAGATTAATTACTTAACTACATATTAACTTTCCACTTAAATATGTGTCCATAATCTATTCATAAGTACATCGAAGCTATGCCCATAATAACTTCTTGAATCGGCTAAACCTCATACTTATATAGGTAGATTTCCAATACATGCTCCTGTGACAAAGCACAATATTAGGAATTCTATGAAGTTAAACAACCTCTTATACATCACAGAAAATCCAAAACTTTACCTTGGATGAAAAGCAAGTTCCCAATTAACAAAATGAGAGAGTTAATCTTATTGCACTTAAGATCCAACATCTTGTTGGGCGTTAACTTAAGACTCCCTCATTTGTAATTATCTAGGGCTCCAATCCTAAACCGATTGCCATCCTATTGTTAACATCTTTTGCCAATGCCTTTGTGAAACAATCAGCGAGATTAAGATTTGTTCGAACATAATCAATAGTGATCACTATCCTTGATAAGTCCTTGGATGTAACTATACCGTACTCTAATGTGTCTTGACTTACCATTATAAACTTGGTTATAAGCCATTGCCAAGGTAGCATTGTTATCACAATGTATCACTATTGGTAATTTTTGTCAACAAATAAAGGAATCTCAAACATTAGATCCTTCAACCATTCGACTTCTTTACCCGTCGAATACAAAGCATTGAGCTCCGATGTCATTGTAGAGTCCGCAATGTAAGTTTTCTTCTTAGAAGCCCATGAAATAACACCTCCCTTATATAGGAAAACCCATCCACTTGTGGAGGAATGATCTTTATTAGAGATCCAACTTGTATCTGAATAACCTTCTAAAACCGAAGGATATCCACTATAAGATAAACCATAATCCATGGTTTTATTCAAGTACTTTAACAAGCGTCAAACCGCTTGCCAATGTAGCATACTAGGATTACTAGTGTACCTACTTAGTTGACCAACTACATAAGAAATATCCAGCCCAGTACTTGTCATGGCATACATCAAACGACATATTACTTTAGCATATTCAAGTTGTGAAACCGCATTATCTTCATTAGGTATCAACCTTATGCTAGGATTCATAGGTGTTGAATAAAGAGAAGTAGAGCAATCACTCACATTAAATTTCTAGAGCACTTTCTCAATGTAATGAGATTGTGACAAGATCAACTTTCCTTTTTCCCTGTTTATCCTTATGCCCAAGATGACATCCGCTTCTCCCATATCTTTCATGAAAAACTGAGAACTAAGGAAGGATTTTATCATTTCAACTTGTGACAAATCCGTTCCAAAGATCAACATGTCATCTACATATAGACAAATTATGACACCTTGACCGTTGTCATTAAATTTGCTATAAATACATTTGTCTGAATTGTTCAACTTGAAACCATTAGACAACACAAACTCATCAAACTTTTGATGCCATTGCTTAGGTGCTTGTTTTAGCCTATACAAATATTTAATCAACTTGCAAACTTTTCCTTCTTGACCTTCCACTACAAACCCTTCCGGTTGTCGTATGTAAACTTCTCCCTATAGATCACCATTCAAGAACGCGGTCTTGACATCCATTTGATGGATCACAAGATTGTGGATTGCCGCAAGTGCTATCAACAACCTTATAGTTAAGATTCTAGCAACAGGTGCATATGTATCAAAATTATCGATACCAGGTTTTTGTGTAAAACCTTGTGCCACTAATCGGGCTTTGAACTTTTCAACCGTTCCATCAGTCCTCAATTTCTTTTTGAAGATACATTTGCACCCTATTGGTTTACATTTTGCTGGTCAATTAGCTAACACCCAAGTATTGTTCCCATGATGGATTCCATCTCATCATTAATAGCATCCTTTCAAAATGGAGCATCACTAGACCTCATAGCCTCATCATAGGTCAAAGGATCATCTTCCACATTAAAAATGTATGAAAATTGTGTAGTAAGAGAATTCCTTGATCCCTCAACTAAGTACACATGAAAGTCTAGGCCAAAAGATTTTCCTTTCCTTTCCCTTTTACTTCTCCTAGGTTGAGTTGATAATGTTGTTCGTTGATGCCTCCTCTAAATAAGTTTGGTCATCAATTTCTTGATCAAATTCAATTTGATCAAAACTTTGAACATCGGCATTTGGAGTTACATCCTTTGGTCTAGGAATTGATGAATATCTATTTTCATTAAACAATGCATCTCTAGACTCAATGGTGGTGTGAACCGACCAATAGTTATTTTGTTCAATTACATAAAACCTATAGGATTTGCTTTATTCCGTATATCCTATAACAATACATTCCACTCCTCTTTCACCTAACTTTTTACATTTAGGTTCTGGCACTTTTACAATTGCCCTACAACCCCAAACTTTGAGATGACTCAAGTTTGGTTTCCTTTTATACCATAGCTCATATGGGGTTACCTCATTTCTTTTCATCGGAACTCGATTTAAAATCTAACAAGCGGTTAATACCGCTTCCCCCTAAAATCCATCACTCAAACCCGAATAGGATAACATGGAATTAACCATTTCTTCTAGAGTCCTATTATTCCTCTCCGCTACACCATTTTGTTGTGGTGAATATGCCGTAGTAGTTTCATGTACTATTTCTATTGATTGGAAATATCTTGGATTATAATATTCACCACCTTTATCAGTTCTTAATCTTTGTTTGTTTGCAATTCTACTTCATTCGTGTAGATTTTAAATTTGTCAAGAGCCTCATCCTTAGAATGCAATAAATAAACATAGCAAAATCTTGAAAAATCATCAATGAAAGTTGCTAAATACTTTTTGTTGCCTAAGGAAGGATTGCTATGAAAATCACATAGATCCATCTGCACTAAATTAAGCAATGCATTATTCTTTTCTACAACATTAGGAAATGGTTTCCTTGTGATTTTTGTTAACATTCATGTCCTACTCTTCTCTATCCTTGGATCAAAAGACAGAATTAAATCATGCTTTGACATAAAATATAACTTTTTATAATTAACATGTCCAAGTCTTACATGCCATAGAGAAGAGCAATCATTAACAACATACAAATTGTCTTTCATAGTATTAAAAATACTAAGTTTAAGCATTCCATCACATAAGTAACCAAGTGCTACAAATAAACCACCTTTAGAAAACATAAATTTATCCGACTCAAACACCATTTTAAATCCTAAACGATTCAAGCTAGCACCGGACACTAAATTCCTCCTAAGCTCAGGAGCATACAACACATCCCTTAAAACAAGAGATTTGCCCGAGCTAAACATTAACTCAACTTGCCCCTTGCCTAGTACTTTTGCGGTGGAGTCAGTTCCCATGTAAAGAATCTGTCCATTGGTTACCTCAATGAAGGATTCAAACAACAAACGATCCTTGCAAACATGTCTCGATGCACCCGAATCGATGTACCAAGAAGTATCACCCTTGCTTGTCTTGGGATTGGCTTGACCCGCCTTTCCCACATTGAGCTTTCTTGTTGCTCATATTTTTCTTCCAAATGGTACAATCTTTCTTAAAATGTCCGGGTTTTCCACAAACCCAACAAACTCGTGAATATTGACCATCACTTCCCACTTTAGGCTTTTTGCCTTTATTTTTGTTTGAGTCATTTCTTTTCTTCTTCTCTAAGACTTAGAATCCTCCACCACATTCACCGTGGTAGAACTAGGATTAACATCCTTTTGTCCCTCTTGCACTCGGATTTCTTCCTCAATCCGAATGTGAGAAGCCAAGCCCTCAAGGTTAATATCATCTTTCTTATGCTTTAATGCATTCTTAAAATCTTTCCAAGATGATGGTAGTTTATCAATTATAGAAGAAACAATAAAGGTCTCATCAAGATTGATATTGTGTTGCCTAAAACTCCCTAAAATTCTTTGGATTTCATGAAATTGTTTCATAACCGGCCTACTATCAATCATCTTGAAATTATTGAACTTACTAACAAGAAATTTCTTGCTAGATGCATCCTCGGCCATATACTTAGACTCTAATTCATCCCAAAGCAATTTAACGGACTCATGAAATTGATAAACATCAAACAATTCATTAGACATACCGTTAAGGATGTGACCACGGCATATGTAGTCATCATTCTTCCACTTCTTCCTCTTTCTAGTAGCCTCCAATGTCTCGTTTTCCTCCTTTGATGGCTTAGGGGATGTGAGAACATAAGCCACACCGAGTGATGTCAGCAGAAAATGCATCTTCTTTTGCCACCTTCGAAAATCCACACTCTCGAACTTGTCCAATTTCTGAAAATTAGTCATCATTTTCTTCACATTTGCCATCTTTGTAATAAATTATACTTTTGGACTGTTGGGGATTTTCTAGTAAACAAGGGTCACAAAAAAAAAATGAAAATGAAATTAATAAAATACTTCGAGGCGTGAACGAAACACTTCCCCAAAATTATAATTCCGACCCTATACTACAACCGGTATCATGGAAATTACTCAAGAGATACAACGAAGAACAATTACAATAACTTGTAGGATTATTGCGATTTAATGTATAAAAGTGTTTGTGATTTGTGAAAATGAACAACTAATAATAACTCCCTATGCCAAAGTGATAAGATAGAAATTATATTTCATCTCTCAACCTTCATTCATCATATGAGGAGTTTCTCATATATATAAGATAGTAGTATGTCAATGCATTTTTCAAACGTAACAATGCATTAAGTCATGCATTAAACAATGCTTTAAGTCATGCATTGAACAATGTATTAAGACATACATTAAACAATGCGTTAAGACATGCATTAAACAATGTTTTTAGTCATCAATTAATACATTAAGTTATAATGCATTAAGTAACTGTCATACTAATGCAAGAGATATCGAAACCGAAATCTTATGTAGCGGTTGCAACATAATTAGTGACAAATAAACCCTTTTCTTTCTCTCTCTTGATTAGTTGTATACTACTATCTTAATCATATGTTGTTTAAGTCATGATACCTTAACCAAATGACTTAAAACTTAACATAACATGTATAATAATCAACTAAATACTTCAAAATTTTCCAAGAGGACTTGTTGTAATATATTTCGTACTTTGGGCTTTTGCTTTTGCTTTAGCTGTAATTGCTATGTAATTTTACCTTCTTTGGAGGTTATTAATATATTTCTTCTAGTTGTGTTAAAAAAAGAGATTCAAAAAACGTATGTCTAGTTGAGTTACTGGGTCCTCAAGACTTAAGTTAAGACTCTATAAAAATAAAAGGATATGATAATTAAGGAGATTCGAACACCTGACATATTGTAGGAAAGATGATTAAATAGAATTCCAGAGACCAGAGAAACCATCGACAGTAACCTTGATTGCGAGCCAAATGGGTGGCGCCACCTTACGTCTCTTCACATTCTTATCATCATCACCTTTACCTCTCCTCCACCATCGCCACCATTCTTCCCTCCGCCACCTCCGCCGCCTCGCCTCTCACCGCTCTTTCCTCTTTCTCTCTCCTCCTCCTCCTCCGCCCTCCTTTCTCTCTCCTCCAAAATCTTCCCAAAAACTTCACACCCACCAAGCTCATCCTCTTTGGGATGAAACCCCATCTTTGAATTCGACTGGGTTTTCTAATTCTACTAGTAGTTTTCGTCATCCTTGGGCTGAGTTTTCGGGTTTTCTTGATTTGGTTTCGCAATCAGAATACTGTAATGCACCCTTTGATGTTCATCAGTTTGTGGGGTTTCAACCATTTGATGAGGGTTTCTTGAGGGTTGCTAATTCTTGTTTGGCTTTTGCTAGAGATAATCCTACTATTTTGTGGTTAGTAGTTTTTGGGTTTTTTTTGGTTATTTTTGTGTTCTTTTTATTTTCGTGGCTCATTTTGTTTGTTTGTTGGTGAAGGTCGCTTTCGAGGGAGGATGTAGAGGTGGTTGCTGAGAATGGTTCACCGTTTTTGTTTGCTAATGCTTCGGCGGCGGTGGCAAGGATGAAATCTTTCTGTGACAACGGCAATGATAATGTAAATATAAGTTTATTTCTTTTATTTTAGCTCAATATTCATTAACTTATTGAGATGAAATTTGATTCTTACTTTATTGTATTAGAACTGGTGTGAGATTAATTATGTAAATTGAGCATTTTTTTTTATAGGCTTATTGTGAATTATTATGAGGTTAATTGGACTTCGAACATGTGATTAGTGCAATGCATTTTTTAACTAATTCAGCGAATTGCCGAAGTTAGTTAAGTACCTACATTATAGGGTTATTTGGTGAAAATTCTCGTGTTACCTGATCGAGTCTTTAGAGGTGAGGCTCTTGCATGTCATTGGAGGATAAAAGAGGATGGCTTTTTTTTTTTGCTAATGCGGTAGTGCCCCTTAGTCAAGGAAACCAGGAAAAGTTACTAGTGATTTTCCAAGTATGTCTTGTGCATATAGAATGGTAGCGTTGCTACATAGTAGAGTGGAATTTGGTTCACCTAGTTGCTTGCTTCTATGGCTATGACATTATATATGTGTAATATGTTAGGCTTAGAAGCCTAATTCCTAATGTAAGTGTTTGGAGGAGGACATCGTTACGCAGTGATTTTGGAATGAAGTAAATTTCAATGATAAATATACATCAACTTTATCTCAATGTATAGTAAATGGAAGTCATGATGCTCTGTTTCTTCTTATTTGTTCAAGCATGCATGTTAAATATTTTACCATAAAAATGTGTATGGACACTAAAATATTGACCAATAAAGGGTAAATATGTGCTTTCATCTTATCTATATGTACCCACAATAAACTGAATTTATTTTCTAGTCTCTATGTCTGTATTATTACTTTAGAGCCTTATAATTGTGTCTCGATGAGCCATGTTTGGAGCATTTCAATGTTTGACAATCATGCCAACCAAAACCCTTACTCTCAAGCTATCTAGGAGAAAAGCTAACGTATCTCTTAGATATGAGACCAATTGACTTGATTATTTGGCCCCTTCCTCCCTAAGTGGTACAGCAGAATTAAGCATTAAACTGTAGGATGTACCATAATGAGTTTCTGTTGCTAATTGATTACTACTATCATAGATTACTTGTTGGATAATCACATCTTAATTTCATCTGACATAATTAAGTCTTACATATTGAGTTTTTTTTTTTTTTTTTTTTACTTAATGTTGAGTAATTGAGCTGAAGGAAAAGTATTGGCGCATGGGACCTATTTGTTGGATGGCTAAATTGTAAATATTAACATGAGTATAAAGTACCGTTAAATAGGTAAATATTACTATTAAATGCTATAGTGGTATAAATATTTTTCTAATGGTACTAATAAGTATGTAAATTGTACATCAAATATTATACCACTGTGAGATATAATAATACTACTAAGATAACCTATACTCTAATGGTATAATATACATGCATAATAGTGCACAAAAAATATCACTGTAACCATAAAAAATACCTTTGTGTATGTCAAATGACTATTGTATCCTCCTTGTGTTTTCAAAGCACATAGGAGCTATGCGCCAAGCTGCACTCTCAGCTGCTTATCAAAAGACTTTACCTAATACTCAAGTAGCTGTTATATGTTAAAAGATAGTCTTATTATTATAGAAAAGAAAGGTCAAAATTTAGTGGTTCCATTTGTTACATTCTTTTGATGTTTTGTGTTATGTGATATTTGTGGTTGACTTTATTCTTCTAATGAAATCAGAAGCGACATCTTGTGGAATGATTCATCAAAATTTACCATTGGAGGGTTAATTTGTGTGAATGTGGTGGTTAAGTTGCTTCTAGTTAAGGTGGGCTATCTGTTTCCGTCATTTAGAATAATGATTACAAGACCATGATTCATAACCAGTAGAATACGAGTACTTTTTCATACTATATTTGTGCCAATTCCATCTGAGTTAAGGAGCCTGATTCAAAGTGTTTGTATAATTATGACTCTTAAAGTTTTCAAGCATTTGCATAGGATGTGTTTTATTCGCTGATTTTCTCTTATCATAAATCAATAAACTCTTTCTAGTTGTGAATTGAACTTTTATTTCTCCCGAATTAAACTTATTGTAACTTGTCTTAACTAATGTTTCCTTAAAAAAGTGGAAACAAGGCAAACACAGTCTTAGTATAGGTTTAGACAAGGATAATATAATAAGATGTAATCAAGTGGTGAGAATAACTAAAGTGATTTTTTTTTTTTTTTTTTTTTTTTATTGCGTGTGTGTGTGTGTAATTTAAGGTTTTAACAATATCAGGGGCTACAACCTGCATACTTTCCACTAGTTGCTCAGACTTTGATTACTTTCAGGAAGTGCACACCTAGATTGGACAAGGTTACGAATGTGGCCTGGATTTTCCAAAGAATAAAATGCCCCATTAAGACTGAAATTCTAGGATGAGGTAAACTCACAACATCTTCCTTGCTCCATTGTCTTTCATAAAGTAAAATGGGTGTATAAATATTCTGCGTTCATTCAGTAGTTACCCATGATTATATGATATATTAAGGACATCTGTACCCTTGGACTCCCTTGATTTTTCTATATTGGTTATTCCAGTGCCAGTAAGGAGAACTAGAACTTTCATAGCTAAATCTTCTTCCAATAGAGAGCTTGACTTCTTACGGAGCTTGGCATCTTTCATAGCTATATCTTCCTTTTGTTTACATCCCCTGTTGGTCCTTCTCAATTGAGGTTTGAAGGGTGACAAGGACTGACAACAATGTTAGCCTGTCAAAAGATTACATTTTTATAGAACTATATATAGATAATATGTTGCAATGTCTTACAAAAGTTCATAGATTGTGGGAGGAAAAGCAAGACATCCTATATAATTTGACTTTCTTACTTTTCTTAATCATATTTTGGTAACCATATCTTAATGGCTTTTCTTTTCCGCCTGTATGTTACGCAGAACTCTGTTGTATATGTTTCATACTTTTCTTCCACTTCTATGGATTATGCACTTGTGCTTATGTATTAGATTTCTTTCACCCTTTATCTTTCTTATTTTGTTTAGTATTTTGACTTTAGCTCAATTCTTGTTTTATAGGTATTAGAATCTGATAAACCAAGCACAGTCGATCTCATGAAGTTTTTATTAAGTTATGCCTACAGTGCTATTGGCTTTTCAGAAAACATTGAGATAAACAGTAGAGTTGAATCATCTACCAGAAAATTGTTCAGTGAATTGGTTAACTTTAATGAAAGTTCTGCGGAGCCTATTGTGACAGTACAGAAAGAGTTTTCTGAAAGATGTAATCAAGCATCAAGTTCTTCTGGAAATAATATCAAAATGAAGAAAGGAGACTGGATATGTCCAAGGTAGGTCATGATGATTTAGACTACAAGTTCTATCTTGGAATGGTTTGCAATTTTATGCTCTCGGGTGTGTAGGTGAAGTACTTTTAGTTCCACTGAGCAATTTTCTCATATGGAAGTCATATATAAGTGATAAACTAAACTCTTCTACTGTTTCGGAGTAGATATTTTCTAAAAATTGAAACATTTTCTTGGTCTGACAAATTAGTTGGAAACAGCAAATAATGTCTTTTCATTATCTTTTTCCGCCACATGGTTTATTTATTTTTCTCTGGAGTCCTAACAATGCTTTGTAATCTTGTTCCCAAATGAGTGCCTTTTCTTGGAGGGGTGGGTGATTTGGAGGAGATCAGTACTTTTGTGAACTTTTAGCTTTGCAAATGATGAATAACTTCTATTCTGCTAATGAGCAGGTGCAGTTTTATGAACTTTGCTAAGAACTCGCTGTGCCTTCAGTGTGAGGAGCACCGGCCAAAGAAACTTTTAACTGGTGGGGAATGGGAATGCCCTCAGTGAGCATCTCAACCTTTTTAATCTTATTTTCTTTTCTTTCTTTCCCCTATTTCCATTGGATTTTGGCATCTGTTCATATTAGAATCACCTTTTTTGCCCTTTCTTTTTTCTCCAGATGTGACTTCTTTAACTTTGGTAGAAATGTGGTATGCTTAAGGTGTGATTGCAAAAAACCAGGAGTCAATCGATTCCTCAGCCCCACTTCGCGTTTGGGAGCTGACACTGCCTCTGCTATAGGCAATATTGAGGAAATTATAACTGGGACTGAAGAGATGCAATCATGGTTCACTAAGATAGCTCAGTTGGAAAAATCATCTGACATGGGCAGTGTTCTAGAAGATGAAGATTTGCCTGAGACCATGAAGGTAGATGATAATAAGTTTACATGGTCTGCTGCAAGCACAAAACACTCGGGCACTGTTGACAATCCCAGTCATAGTTATTTCCAGACAGCTAGTGACCAGGATAGTATTGATATGAAAATCAGCCAAAGTCTTAATGAACTTTCTGGCGACAAGTCTCCAAATCAGATGGGAAATAAAGATTATGAGAATGAACAAGCTGATGAATCTGAAAGATGGTTTAAGAAGGTGGCTGAACTACATGATGTAACAGACCTGCCTAGTGCTATATCTGATGATGATTTCCCAGAAATAATGCCAATGCGCAAAGGAGAGAATCGATTTGTTGTTAGTAAGAAAAAAGACCGTTCTTTAACTTCTCCGATGTACAAGAGACGTGTGGCAATGGAGCAAGCGGGCAATAATAATTATGTCCCATTTGTCCCTTTTCCACCTGATTACTTTGCCAGGAAAAAACCAAAAGGGTCAGAGTCAATTCATAAAAATGAACAGACTGGTGCAATGAGATCAGATGCCGCAAAAACAGGAGAGGAAACGGAAGATAAATTTAGCAAACCAGCTTCTGAGGTATCCAATTATGTAGACCAAAACTCCAAAACTATTGATTTGCCAATCAGTACTCCCAGTAATTGTTCTGAATCTCAGAGCACAAGTGAGAATGCAAATGTCAAGGACTCTTGGAGAGAAAAGAGTTTGGAGGGATCAGCAGTAAAGGAACCAAATCCACTGGATATGTCTGAGGAAGCTAAGGCAGAGAGGTGGTTTCGGCGTGTTGCTCAGATAAAGGACATCTCAGAGCTGAGCCAGGTTCCTGATGAGGATTTTCCCTCTATAATGCCAATGAGGAAAGGAGTGAATCGATTTGTGGTGAGCAAGAGGAAAACACCTTTGGAGAGACGGTTGACATCTTCACAGTACCGAAGGAACCTACCAGTTGTGAACTCTGAACCTGAAAAGAAGGAAACAGACTAATTGAGAATGAAAACAAGGACTTGCTGAGTTTTGTGTTTATGCACGAGTTTGATGATACCTCTGTATGTATTTCTATTTGTAAGCTCTGATAGGCTAATGCATGAAGCTGAACTTTTTTTTTTTTTTTGTTACACAAGCTGTGGGGATAGTGGATTATTCAGGAGGCTAGCAAATGAAGTTTTGAACTAGCTGGTGCTTGTGATCTATGGAATTCCAATTACAGTTTAGGCTAAAGTAATTAGTTTTTGGTCCAGTCTGTTATTAGAGGGGGCCTTTGTATACTATTTAATTAAAAGGGAAAATATTGCAATTATCTCAGAAAATCTGTTTGCCATTCTTTCAATGATTTCTAATTGTTACACTCTCTTGTTGATGACTGCACCTATTACTGATTTGCTGTTCCAAGTAGAAGTTCCGTATAGCCACATAAATTGTACAATGTGATGGTCAGTTTACGCAGGCGCTTTTCTGGGTTGATTTTGCTTGATCAAGTGTTGATGCTTTCAACTTGGTGGCTTTTGTTTTTTTTTTCCTTTTTCCTTATTAAAGTTATTTTTTATTTTACTTATTATTTTGCATTCTTTCCTAATAGCTGTTAATGTAATGCCACACAGGAATGTGACTGTTGGGTTCATCAAAGCAAGCTTTGGGTTTGTCCGTCCAGATGCACAATTATTATATCAATCAGGGGAGTGATCTTGATTTGCATTTACTCGTCGTTTGTTTTATCCAGGCTTGTGTGCATCAGAAGTTTATCAGAGATACTTGTTTGTGTAGCTTTTAAAAACTGGGCTACTCCGTATGTTATAGCCTTATAGGCTTGTTTGTGGGATACCGACATGCATTGAAATTAATAGACATTGACATGTATGGATTAAATGGAAGTTTTTGACATGTTGGAACACGATGGATTCGATTTTCTTACAGCATGGATTGGTGCATTGAAGCCATAAGACATTAGTACTATACTGTCAAATGAAAGCTGCTGGTGTGCAGTCCCGTTAGTAAGTGATTTCCTGTATTGCTCCCTCTTTTAAAATAAGCTAGTAACTATATGAGCTACCTGAAAGGTTTCTTAAATAATCAGAGCGTTGATTAAGGCTTTTAGCCATTGCTTCTGGACTCTCAATGAACAAATGAATCTGCTGAGGTGTTGGAAAATAATAATAGTGCATTTGCAAAAAGACCCATTTTAGGGATTCTCCTCTAGATTGAACTGAGCGTAATCTGCCAACCTACCATCTTCCAACAGCTACTTCCCATCAAAATTTTAATTCGTCATTAATCCTAGCTCGCTGGTGGCCACCTCACGGCTGTGGTTGCCGGGGAGCGTACTTCTCGACTTCCCGACTTCCCAGAGCTCCTTCCTTCATCATCAGCTGGTTTTTCCATTTTAATATCTGGTTTTCTGTTTCCTTGTTCTTCTTTTAGAGATTTAGCCGCCCTATTATTTACAAAAATGTCTCTAAATAAACAATTTTTGTTTATCATAATGATAAACTGAAACTTCCTCCTCTTAATATCATCAACAAATATACTCCATTATTAATTGTCATACAAAATTACTTTGGGATTGGGATAAGACTATAAGAGTAAGGAATATATTCATATCTTTTGGAACCAAAGTGATTCAACTTGTGCATTGGCGCATTGCTAGCACTCTTGTAGTCGACGTCCAGCTAATATTCGTCGTACTTGACGTTATTATTACCCAATTTTCCATATATAAGAGTGAGCACTTTTGAGTTAAGACAAAAGGCCCACCTTTCTGCAACGTGGCAACAAGTTGATCGCTCTTTCATCTTCCCGTTGTCAACAGAATCATCTTTGCTATTCTTTTTAGACCTCAAACTATTCATGCACCGTATATAAACCTCTTTTCAACCTCTTAATCTTCCCGTCATTTCCGTCCGCAATTAGTTGTCACGTTTAAATTATGCAACAAAGAATTTAACGATCCAGAAAAAGAATAAATAGTAATGGGTGGTAAGAAGCTAATCCAAAGAATACACAACATTCTAAGCTTGATAGTGTTTACATTCTTTGATTTACTTGATTATGTTTTATGCATAGTTTACTCATACCTTGATGAGTTGTTTGAGAAGACTGCGTCATCAACTTCTTGCTACTGTTCTAGGAGAGAACAAGAAAAAAATAATGATAATATTGAGCAAGATGAAGTTTCAGAGACATTATATAAGAGGCCAAACTTATTTAGAGATATGGGTTTGTTAAACTCAAGGAGGATGAGGTTGCAGAGAAGTTCGTCGAAACTCATAGCTAATAGATGGTCTGATTGTGGGTGTGAGTCTTGTGTTGCTTGGATTAACAATGGCGACAATCTTCGGCTTCATGTTGTAGTTCATGATCCAGGTAATACATTCTTTGTTTGGAATTAATTCTCTTGTGGATATATAGAATGATTTACATACTCTATCTATGAGGTATTTTAAACTAGTAATGTGACAATGAAAGTAGGACGGCGAAGTATGTTATAATTATATTTCAGAAACCCACATTAATATGTGTTTTTACTTTTTTTTTTTTTTTTTCTTTTACCTATTATAGTTTTAGTGTAGTCACATTGTAGTGTAGGAGTACTTTTTAGAGGGATTGTGCATAATTACTAACCTTACTGTAAAACCAATGTAAATACTAAGTATATATTTTCCTTGGAAAAAGTTAGACAATTAGAGTCTAAAGCATAGAAAACTTAAGACCAAATGATTTCATTCTAACTAATGTTATTTTCTTACAATGCTTATGGAAGATTTAGACGACAAATTGAGCGAAAATGTGATATTTTTGCACGGTTTCATCTCTTCATCCTCATTTTGGACAGAAACAGTTTTCTGTAATTTATCAGAACATACAAAACAGAATTACAGGTTGTTTGCTATCGATTTGTTGGGATTTGGAAGAAGTCCGAAACCAAGAGATTGTTTGTATACAATACGAGATCATATAGAAATGATTGAGAAATCGGTGATCTTTCCATATAGATTGAATTCCTTCCATTTGGTTGCTCACTCCATGGGATCCATTATTGCATTCGCTTTGGCTGCCAAGTATCCTCAACATGTCAAGTCTATTACTTTGATAGCACCAGTAAGTATTATTTATCGCAGAAGATTACGCGTTGAATTGAATCTGTGATTAATTTGACTCGTTGAATGTGGCCTATCATTTTGAAACATTTTATAATCGACATTCAAGTACATTATATGTAGCCTTGTATATACATGAATATGCAACATGTCTATGTTACGTTTAGGTAATTAGGTGTATGTGTACCTGAGTGGTATGTCATCTCATATTGTAAGTTATGATCATAAAATCTATTACAAGAGCGATTTTATCATAAAATCGTAATCTACCATATCAATTCAATGCGATTTGATTTCCCATTTTATTTTTACTCATGTTAGGAGGAAAATAAATATCTCTGTATCAGATGCATGAAGCCAATTCAAATATGATTTGCGACAAATTTAACAAATTAATTTTGTTTATTATAAATTAGGCGAATTCCCCCATTAATTTTCATAATGTGAGTTTATTATATTGTGATTTCTAGCCTTACTTCCCTTCGGACAATAATAAGCAAGATGCAAGCTTATTTACACTCGGAAAAGTTGCTGAGAAAAGGTTGTGGCCTCCATTACTGTTTGGTTCATCATTTATGTCCTGGTATGAGCACTTGGGTCGAACTGTGTGTTTCATACTATGTCGAAATCACAAGATTTGGGAATTTCTTCTAAGGCTAATCACATGGAGAAGGTACTAGTTTCTGGTAATGTCTTTTCTTTTTTGTAAACAGGAAGATAGAGTATAGTATTGCATAGAATGCTAAGAAAATCTGAAAATGCTCTATGTTACAAATTTTCGCCTTTTTTTTAGGGACCTTCATTTCACAATTATGGACATAACAAGGCATACTCATCACTCAGCTTGGCATACCATGCATAATGTGATTTGTGGAGGCTCAAAATACATGGAAGAATACTTAAGTATCTTGCGCGATGCTAAGGTGAAACTTACGATCATTCAAGGCAATGAAGATCAAGTGGTACCAATTGAATGTAGTTCCAGCATTAAAATGAAAGTTCCTGAGGCAGATGTTAGAATTATACCCAAGACTAATCATTCTACTATTGTACTCCGGCATGCAAAGGAGTTCACACAAGATCTAGAGAGTATTTGGATGTCATGTCATTGATCTTGAGCTAGCTATTCACTATTTATTGTCGAAATATAGAGTGTTTATCTAGTCGAGACAAAATTAGAAGTTGAATTTCCTATAAAGTAGATATGTGCACTACATTTTTTTGATTGGTTGCAACGTAGGAAAAAACTTTCAATGTAAGGACATGATTAATTAATTAGGACTCCCTAAGTAAGTGGTACTTTCCATAAAAAGTGAAACTTTATGCAGTCAACCCATCAAAATTTGACTATTATTTTTGGAAATGAGTTAATTGTAGTATGGAACTCCCTTGAATTAAATGGGGATTTCTCATTTCATTCTTAAGCCCACTATTTAGCTGTCTAAGGCCTTTTCTGGTGCTACATCAAACCAGATGAACCAGCAACTAATAGCTGGACTCGAGCCCAGCTAACTCTGGTTGGTCCCTCGTTGAAAAATAAACATTTACTATAATAAAAATGAATATTTTTTAGCTGAACATATTTTACAATAATTTTATATTTCTTAATAATTAAATGTTTATTTTCATGCAGTATAATATTCATTCTTATAAAATAAATGTTCATTTTCATACAGTATGATGCTCATACTTATAAAATAAATGTTCATTTTCTTTTTTAATTAATAAATTTTTTTGTGTTTGTTCGGTTGTATAAAATGTTCGTTTTTATAGTAAAGGATGTTTAATTAATATTAGCATTAATAATGTTAGACTTAAGCATTGTGTTCATTATTAAAAAAAAATATTGTGGATTCATTTAATTGGTATTAAATCATGTAGTTCAGCGAATTGCAAGATATTCATTCAAGCGAATTAGACAAATCAAGGTACTTCACTTGAAGCTTATAAAAATGTTGACGAATAAGCAACAACATTATATGTTCATTATTATTTACAACTGAAATATTCAGTTATATAATATTAGATGTACAATTTATTTTTATTTTTTTTCAATTTTATAATTTCTTTATTTTACTCTTATATTATAAGTGTTCATTTTATAAATTGCAATGTTTAGATATAAATGTTCTGGTCGCGAGTCCAGCTAAAAATTTGCGCAGATGAATACAATATGTGTTATGAATAATGATAATATCTGAGAGGATGTAAAAACTCCTTGTACATGAAAAAATATACTTCCTCTTTTTTTATTTAATTTTTTTCAATACAACCTTATGGCACGCACTTTGATTCCAAGATTAAACTTCCTCTGTTTCTTTTTACTTGCAACACACTTTTTAGGCACGCAGTTTTAGGAGATGAATAGTGAAAGTAAACGAGCAATTTTATCAAAATAATTTTAGCATGAGGATTAATAGAGTTAGGTATCATGTGTAAAAATCATATTGAATAATTTATCCATTTGCATTATATAATTTCGACCTCAAAGCGCGTGCCACAAGGCTGTGTTGCAAGTAGATAAAAAAGGAGGAAGTACAATGTAAACAACCAAAATAATTTTTATACATAGTAGTTAACCCTTCTTTTTTCACAGTGTTAAAATAATTTTGATAAAATCATTTGTTTACTTTTACTAGTCATCTTTCAAAACTGTGTGCCTAAAGATTGTGTTACAAGTTTTAAAAACAGAGAAAGTATATTGTTATTATTACCTACAAACTCTTCAATTCATGTATGGCATCTTGTAGACACCTAAGTGGTGGCTCCTCAATTTAGCATCTAATGATTGAAATTTACTATACCTTTATTTTGTGAATATTTGAATAGGCTAAAGAAATGTCAAATTTCATTCAAAGTCCTTCCATCTCTCCCCCCCCCCTCCCCCCGATTCGTCACAGCACCCCATTCATGTGATAGGGTGGAGGGTCCACCCCGTAGTTTACCATTTAGAAAAAAAAAAAAAAAATTTGCACATTTCCATAACCTTAGCCAACTTCATTCAAACAATTGACCAATTTCCAAGCCATTTTCCATATACCTTAGCCAATTCCAAAACTTTTCCATCCCTTAGTCCAAAATCGATCTCACATGATTCACAAGGCTTTAGAGTTTCTTAGAGAACTTATGTTTGGATAACCCATAAAATAATTTTTCCCATGATACATCATAAGCCTAATTTCGATTTAATATGAAAGTGATATTAATAAAATACTAAATCGAACTCAAAACGGACACACTTGCACTATATATTTTGTCCATATCTCATAATTTACAAATTACATTGTTATGATTATAATTGAATTGAAAATTAGACTTACGCAGCTTTTCAACAATGCATTATATACCCTCTTTAGAGTTCGGGATCAAAAGCTACTAGCTTTGCATAAACGAGCTATATTGGACATCCCATGTCTTCGAGAGCTTCACTCCAAGCACAACAACTTTGCATGTAACGCGAGATTTTTAGTTTGGCACAATGTTTCCAACCTTTATTTTTAGATGAGATTTTCCACCATTTATTTTCGTGTAATGAATTCTTTTTTACTCTGTTTCACACAAAAATCTCACAAATGACAGTACTGACAAAAAATTGAAATCTTCCTTCTCTTAAACCCTTCACGATAACCCTTCTTAAGCAAATCTGGCTTGTTCATGTAATTGTATTTGCCCCTAGTATTTCACTCACGATTTAAAAAAAAATAAAAAATAAAAAATAAAAACAAAAAAGAAAGTCATGTCCTTATTCCTCACTCACGAAACGATCATAAAAACCCTAAGTTACCGAGCACTCACCCGTTCATCAACCGTCCTCGCACCCCCCACGACTCACACTGTCGAACAGCTCGCACTCACTCAAATTTGAAGGTTTGAACACTATTTTAATACTCCTGTTAGTCTTTCCCTATTAGATAGTCCCCAAATATTATCTTAAATTGAATATTTTAATACTCCTGTTAGTCTTTCCCTATTAGATAGTCCCCAAATATTATCTTAAATTGAAAAACTTGTGCGTCCAATTCATTCACCCAATGTAATGCAGATCCTGTCATTAGCTTATTAACATACTATGTGTTGCAAGTATTATCCTTAGTCCCTTACTCGTGCGGGCACAAACTAATTAATTGATTTATCAATAAAAGTTTGGTATCCAAGTATTACAATAACATACTCCGTATTTATAAGTGTTAAAAACTAACTCGATCAACCAACCTGACCCAATCTGACTCGTAAAAAACCCAATTCTGAATACCCAAATTGACACCTCTATTCGTATTGTGATATCAACAAGATTGAAAGGCTCAATTTATCACCCTCTAATTAGATTTATCAAAACCACACCGAAGCTGACCCGATTCGAAACCGACCTTAAAATATCCAATTCAGATCTCGACTCGCGTGGACACAATAAATTAGCGTGAATCAAGTTTAAAATAGATATGATTCGATCTGATCTCACCGAGCCTGATCCGAACACCGAAATGGACACATCTACCTCTAATTGACTCGAAGCAAACCCGATCCAAATGACGAGCACTTGAGAACTTTACTTACCATTCTTTCTCGCGACCCTCGTGGTAGGTGAGACTGGACTGGAGTAGTAGTGGTGGGAGAGAATGAGATCTAACCCCCATACAAATTGTTTCAATGATACATAATTGACACCCACATTTGCTGACCTAATTCCGCCCATTGATTGATTAATCATACCTAACACCATTCTTTTCCTTCAAATTCCCTTCCCCATTTTTTGTATCATCTTCTCCCAAAAACAATACAAAATTAAAAACAATGGATTTGTTGGAATCTCCTGAGATGAAAATGGTAGCCATTGGTATGGCAGTTGTTGTTGTTGCTGCTTCAGCTTCTTGCTTATTCTCTACTAAGAAGAAATCTAGAGGTGGGTTTTCATTTTGATTAGATTCTTTGTAGTTTGAGTTTTTATTTCTATATGAAAAATGATCAAATTTGATTGATTTTGTTCATTGTAGTTTGCTTGGATCCTGAGAATTTCAAGGAATTTAAGCTTGTCAAACGCACCCAAATCAGTCATAATGTGGCTAAATTTACATTTGCACTTCCTTCTCCTACTTCTGTCTTGGGTCTTCCCATTGGTCAACACATCAGTTGCAGGTACAAAATTCTATACAATATGCTTTTTTTTAGTGGGATTTTTATAAATTGTATTTTTGGTGAATTTCAGAAGATTTTTTTGATTATTTAAACAAATATTTAGAATGTTATTTATTTGGGTTGATTAATTTGTGATAGGTTTGACTTTCAATCTTTGGTACTATTATGATTATTTTTGGTGGGGTTGTAATAATTTGTAGTTTTTTTTTTTTTTTTGATGAAATTCAGTAGATATTGCTGATATTTTGATGCTAAGATTATATTGTTATACTGGGTTGATTTATTTATGGTTGGTTTGATTATCAGTGTTTGGAAAATTAAGGAATTTATCATAGGAACGTTATTAATGTATGACTATGATCTGCTTGTGCTAACATTATTATTATGATTATGAATTTAGTCTTATTGTTATACTGGGTTGATTTATTTTTGGTTGCTTTGATTATCAGTGTTTGGAAAATTAAGGAATTTATTATAGGAACGTTGTTAATGTATGATTATGATCTGCTTGTGCTAACATTATTAAAATTGATTATGAATTTAGTCTTAGTAATTTATTTATAATTTGTTTTCCAATGTGTTGATATTAGGGGAAAGGATAGTCAAGGAGAGGAAGTCATTAAACCATACACTCCAACTACATTAGACTCTGATGTTGGGCGCTTTGAGTTAGTCATCAAGGCAAGCCTGAATTTTTTTTTGAGTTGGTTTCACTCCCTATTTTTGGTACTTTGTTATATGATATTGCAGCTTTGTTCTTGCAATCATGGAGTTGATGTCGCGTTTGGTTTTATTCTAATTAGATGTATCCTCAAGGAAGGATGTCACACCATTTTCGGGAGATGCGTGTTGGTGATTATCTTGCTGTTAAGGGACCTAAGGTATGTTCTTCATTTCCCATGACAGGATTTGTATGACTCTTAACCGGTTGTCATTTTACGTAGAGTGCATGTTGAGATTTGTTATGAGTTTACCATCAAATGCAATAACACCAGGACTCTAACTTCATAATTCTGTTTCATTGAGTTTATAGGGGCGCTTCAGATACCAGCCTGGTGAAGTCAGAGCTTTTGGAATGCTTGCTGGAGGTTCTGGCATCACTCCAATGTTTCAAGTAACTATTTATACTCACCTTTTTCAATTTACTCGTTCATCAGTCTTCGTTGTTTATATGGAATATTTATATGTTTTGACAACAAACACATTGATTCCTTTCGTTATGTATGAATC